TCTGCTGCACTTAAGGTTCCGAAGAGCACAGTGGCCTCCATTCCTTAAATGGAAGACGTTTGGGATGACCAGAACCCTTCCTAGAGCTGGCTGTCCGGCCAAACTGAGCTATCGGGGGCGAAGAGCCTTGGTGAGAGAGGTAAAGAAGAACCCAAAGATCACTGTGGCTGAGCTCCAGAGATGCAGTTGGGAGATGGGAGAAAGTTGTAGAAAGTCAACCATCACTGCAGCCCTCCACCAGTCGGGGCTTTATGGCAGAGTGGCCCGACGGAAGCCTCTCCTCAGTGCAAGACACATGAAAGCCTGCATGGAGTTTGCTAAAAAACACCTGAATAAGATTCTCTGGTCTGATGAGACCCAGATAGAACTTTTTGGCCTTAATTCTAAGTGGTATGTGTGGAGAAAACCAGGCACTGCTCATCACCTGTCCAATACAGTCCCAACAGTGAAGCATGGTGGTGGCAGCATCATGCTGTGGGGGTGTTTTTCAGCTGCAGGGACAGGACGACTGGTTGCAATCGAGGGAAAGATGAATGCGGCCAAGTACAGGGTTATCCTGGACGAAAACTTTCTCCAGAGTGCTCAGGACCTCAGACTGGGCCGAAGGTTTATCTTCCAACAAGACAATGACCCTAAGCACACAGCTAAAATAATGAAGGAGTGGCTTCACAACAACTCTGTGACTGTTCTTGAATGGCCCAGCCAGAGCCCTGACTTAAACCCAATTGAGCATCTCTGGAGAGACCTAAAAATGGCTGTCCACCAACGTTTACTATCCAACCTGACAGAACTGGAGAGGCTCTGCAAGGAGGAATGGCAGAGGATCCCTAAATCCAGGTGTGAAAAACTTGTTGCCTCTTTCCCAAAAAGACTCATGGCTGTATTTGATCAAAAGGGTGCTTCTACTAAATACTGAGCAAAGGGTCTGAATACTTAGGACCATGTGATATTTCAGTTTTTCTTTTTTAATAAATCTGCAAAAATGTCAACAATTCTGTGTTTTTCTGTCAATATGGGGTGCTGTGTGTACATTAATGAGGAAAAAAAATGAACTTAAATGATTTTAGCAAATGGCTGCAATATAACAAAGAGTGAAAAATGTAAGGGGGTCTGAATACTTTCCGTACCCACTGTATATATTTTTTAATCTCTATATATATATACACACAAAAACACCCCATTTTGTATTTTATCGCAGCATGTTAAATGAGTTTCTTTGTGTGCGCTGCACTAATTTGTTTTGATTTCTCCTCAAGAGGCTGCTGGAGCCTCAACAGTGCAACCTTGTTACCGTCAGCATCAGTACATTGTACATTATATATTATTATCCTCTATCGATCCCCACTTACATTAAATGAGTTATTCTCTTGTTTTAGTTATTTTTTTGATGTTGTTATTGACGTTTTAATCAGGCTACTTGTCTGATCGGACAAGTAAAATTCTCTTTCAGTTGCCTCTTCAAAAAAATCCACTTTTCCCGGGCAAGCGTTAATGTCGAGTCCTGTGTAACTGTTCTTTTCATCTTCTCTCTTCAGCTCTTTACATTTTGCGCACTAGTTAGCCTGAACGGACACATACATGCAGAAAAATTGTTAAAATGCACGTAAAAGATCACCTATTCTCAAAAAACACATTGATTAGGGCTTAGGTGAACTAAACAATTGAGAAAGAAAACCGGATGTGTAACAGTATTTTGGATCCACGCCGCACATTCGGCCTTAAAGTCCACGTGAAGCGGAAGTTGCTGCCGACTTTATTTCAGTGTAGTGACGTATTTCCAGCTGAAATGGAATATTGAATAGAGGGCATGGTTTTATGTTTGCGCTCCTCCTCTCTGTCTCTCACTCATATCAAACTAACGGTTGGAGGGGTGTGTTGCACGGATTAATTGTTTACATCAAGACTAGCAATGTGCGCTA